TGGGCTGACCAGCCCCAGGGAGGGAGGAATGCGGCCTGCGGGCGGGCGGCCAGCCATCTCCGGAGCTGGGAAGTTCAAGTCCGTTTCCTTCGCCAGACTGCGTGGAACTGAAAAGTGTGCCGGCGGGGAGAGAGAGTGGCAGGCAGGGCGCCTTTGTGGCCTCCAGGGGTGCGGGCGGTGCCGTGTGCGCAGGGGATCTAGGCCCCCCTGCAGGTATGTGTGTGGGGTATGTGTGCGCTTTGCGCGTGCACGCACACCCTCCGGCCGCCCCACTTTCCCCAGGGCCTCCCACTAGAAAAGTCCTAGCTATGGGCCTGGGCCCAACTGAGGGCTGCTGGGAGCAGGGGGCAGGGCTTGTTGCACGTGCCCACCCTCTGGGCTCCTTACTGCCGGAGCTCCGCTCCTGTGTGCTCCCGCAGGAAATTACCCCTGGATCTTCGGTCCGGACAGTAGTTCATGGAACATTGCTGTAGACTGCATCATGGTGCTAGATATATCACTGTTTTGGTTCTGTAGTGGGTTTTTATTTGGGGGGAGGGGTGGAATTCCCATACAAACACAAACTTCTTATCTTCTTTCGGTGGTGGGTCTAAGCTGATGTCAAATATGAGCCAGTATTTTGTTTTTTGTCAATATATTGTATTTCTACTGAATTTGCCATGTACATAAGAACATAAGAACATAAGAGACGCCAATGTTGGATCAGGCCAAAGGCCCATCCAGTCCAACACTCTGTGTCACACAGTGGCCAGAAATACCAGTGCCATCAGGAGGTCCAGCAGTGGGGCCAGGACATTAGAAGCCCTCCCACTGTTCCCCCCCCCAAGCACCAAGAAGACAGAGCATCACTTGCCCCAGAGCCCCTAGCTATACCTTGTGGCTAATAGCCACTGATGGACCTCTGCTCCATATGCTTATCTAATTCCCTTTTGAAGCCGTCCATGCTTGTAGCACCCACCACTTCCTGTGGCAGTGAATTCCATGTGTTAATCACTCTTTGGGTGAATAAGTACTTCCTTTTATCCGTTCTAACCCGACCGCTCAGCAATTTCATGGAGTGCCCACGGGTTCTTGTATTGTGAGAAAGGGAGAAAAGTACCTCTTTCTTTACCTGCTCTTTCCCATGCATAATCTTATAAACCTCGATCATGTCACCCCTCAGTCGTCTTTTCTCCAAGCTAAAGAGCCCTAAGCGCTTTAACCTTTCCTCATAGGGAAAGTGTTCCAACCCTTTTATCATTCGAGTTGCCCTTTTCTGCACTTTTTCCAAAGGTGTGGTGACCAGAACTGCACACAGTATTCCAAATGAGGTCTCACCATTGATTTATATAGGGGCATTATGATACTGGCTGATCTGTTTTCAATACCCTTCCTAATAATCCCCAGCATAGCATTGGCCTTCTTTATTGCAGTCACACACTGTCACTGACATTTTCAGTGAGTTATCTACTACAACTCCAAGATCTCTCTCTTGATCAGTCTCTGTATCAATTCAGCTTTTTAGCCTCAAGTTAAACTTGGGTACCCTTCTTTCATCCTTCCCTTTTAATTAACTGGCTCAGATGTATGGATGCCTTGGTACGATTTCACAAGTTTAAGTTGACAGTCTTGGACAGGGGGAAAGCATGGACTGACTAAAATTCCTTGATCCAGTGCTGAATCTACCAACAGAAAAACTAGAGTGTCTTGGTATTTAGTGTAAATTGAAGTATTTCTAAAGGTATTTCATGTAAATTACCTGCTTATTCCTCTTCTCTCTGGGCAGGGGCTGTGGCTTAATGGTAAAGCATCTGCTTGGCATGCAGAAGGTTTTGTGCTTATCCCCTGGCTTTTCCAGGGATTTCAGATTTAAAAGATGAGGTAGTAGGTGATGTGAAAGTCTCCTAGCTGAACCCCTAGAGAGCTGCTGCCGGTCAGAGTAGATAATACTGACCTTGATGGACCAGTGATCTGATTCATGATAAGGCAACTTCATGTGCTTTTTCTTTAAAGTAGTTACACACAAATGTGGAATATTCTCTGTTACGGCAGTGTTGAATGCAGAGGAGTTAGCTGTCTTTCTTGGCAACAAATAGCCCTCCAGGAATGCAGCTCAGAAGGAGTTCTGGCTTTTGTCAGCAGCATTGCAACTTTGCTTATGCCTCAGGCTCACTTCTCAAATGTCAGCAACATTATGGTCAAGTTTGCCTCATCATACCCGGATTTTTAGAGGAAGACTGAACTGAAGAATTTCTCCCCCAGAATTCTGCTGTCTTGGGAACGGCAACTATGGAGAGTTCTAAGCTATCCAGACTTCCTTTTACTGCTTCTTTATCATGTCTGTCTTGCTTCCCCTGGACTACTGTGATTTTTTGGCACCCACCAGGACTTGTCTTGCCATTCTGACTTCCAAGAAATGTTTCATGGGATTGGGTGATGTATAGAGTTCAAGGGATCACCCTAGTTAGGGTTTTGTTGCTCTTTAGAGCAAACTCTGGAGGATGGCGGAAGACAGGAGGGCGTGGCGTGATGTGGTCCATGGGCTTGCGAAGAGTCGAACTTGACTGTGTGACTGAACAACAACAAAAAGCCTTCTAACAAGTCCAGTATATGAGATCCCACTCTGTATATTTCTGGCTCTGCTCCTAAATAGGAGATGAGAGAGGGAAACTGTTGGACAAAGCTCCTGAATAGGGCAGTTTTTCTCTTGTAATTGAGGGGGAAACTCTAGCTGTAGAACTTGGCAGAGAAGTCCTTAGAGAGGCTTGGCTTCCACAAGGTGCTTAGAGAATGATGCAAGCATTCTATCCCCAGCCTGATGTAGTGCAGCCCAGGCACAAGGTTTCTACCTTGGTGAGAACTCTGTGCCCCCCCCCCCCAGTCTTCTGAAGCATCCTTTTAAGAATTGACATAACTTCCTGCTTTAAATGGCCAGCTCATAGCTACTTGTTTGCAAAAGTGTTTTAACTAAATGACTTTTTAAGCAATCCAACAGATGCTTGCTTGGAAGTAAGTCCCTCTGATTTCACTGGGGCATACCTGGAAAGTAAGCAAATATAGAATTGCAGCTGTATGTTCCACTCTCTTCCCACATTTTTGGCTCATGATAACTGAGTGCCCTAAAGAAACTAAGAGACTTGAGCTGCTGTGTTAAGTGTACTTGGTGTCTTTGTCTAGAGGACTCTTGCATATTGCTGGTATAGGTGCTCCATCCTTGCAAGACCTTTACAAACCAAATCCTTGGAAGAACTGTAAATTTTATCTATAGCCTCAAAAAGTACCAGGATTACGGTAGGGCAAAGGAACTGAGCCATCGTTCATAGTGTGTGTTTGTGGTTGTGTAGTGGGCTCAGCTCTTTGTTTTACTAACCAGCATCATTGTTAGGGAAACTTTGGTGAGGATTGAACTGGTCAGTATGAAAAGAAAGTGGTAGCTCATGCATCAAGAAGTTTGGAGGGAAAAATAAGAGGTGGATGGAATTGATAAGCCGTTGTAACTAATTTGAGTCTCTATGTACAGAGGCAGTACATCTCTTTATACCAAATGCTGGAGATGATGCCACCTTCATACTCTGCCTGTAATCTTCCAAAGGTATTTCTGGCACCTCTTAGAAACCACATTCTTCAGTAGTGACTTTTTCTGGAGTTGAACTAGCATGAAAATTAAACAAAATTCTTCATTTTAAAATCTCTAATGCAGGGGTGTCGAACTCATTTGTTACGAGGGCTGCATCTGACATAAATGTCACTTTGTCAGGCCGGGCCATGTATGCCATGAAATGCAATGCCAGGTACCGGAGATAATCATAGAATCATAGAATGTTAGAGTTGGAAGGGACCTTGCAGGTCATCTAGTCCAACCCCCTGCACTCTGCAGGAGCATAGCCGAAAGACAGCCCATACATACCTACAACATACCTGAAAGATGGTCATCCAGCCTCCGCTTGAAAACGTCCAGCGAAGGAGCATCCACCACTTCCTGAGGCAGACTGTTCCACGGCTCAACCACTCTTACAGTTAGGAAGTTTCTCCTGATATTTAGCTGGTAATGACTCCCTTGTAATTTCCACCCATTAGATCTAGTCTTGCAATCCGGAGCAAGAGAGAATAGATCTGCTCCGTCTTCTACATGACAGTCCTTCAAATACTTGAAGGCTGCAATCCTGTTCCCTCTAAGTCTTCTTTTTCCCAGGCTAAACATACCCAATTCTTTCAGCTTTTCGTCATAAGGCTTGGATTCCAACCCTCTCACCATCCTGGTTGCCCTCTTCTGGACACACTCTAGCTTGTCAACATCCTTCCTAAAATGTGGTGCCCAAAACTGGACACAGTACTCCAGCTGAGGCCGGACCATAGCAGAATAGAGCGGAACTACCACCTCCCGTGGTCTGGACACAATGCTTCTGTTAATGCATCCTGAGATTGCATTAGCTTTCTTCACAGCCACATCGCACTGCAGGCTCATGTTTAGCTTGTGATCAACCAGAACACCTAGATCCATTTCACATGAGCTGCTGTCATATAAACTGTATAAAGCTGGTAAACTCTGAGTTGGTGTATTCTCACTGCAAGGCCTCATGGGCTGGGTGGGGGGTACAAAAGAAAATCCATATGGGCAGACTGGAGAGCCAGCAGTGCAGCACTGGGCAGTTGAGCCCATGCTGCTTGACTGCTGCAGATGAGGTTGTTCCGCCATGCTGAAGCCACAATTGGCCCACTCCCCCTAAGCAGCCTCCTGTTCCCTCCCTTGCACTACTAGTTGCTTGCGGGCCGCATAAGAGCCCTGGATGGGCCTGTTCCAGCCCCCCCCCCCCGGGCCTTATGTTTGACACCGCTGCTCTAATGTATCTACCTGTCTGTCTTTAGGCTTGTCCTCTCACAGCCAAGTAAGATGTTCACTGTGTGCCTCTGCCTGGCTCTGGGCGTGTGTAGAAATATTTTGGGCAAAAGGGTGAAAACGGGATGAGCCTCTGATCTATTGTATTTTCTCTTTATTACCCATTTTGTCTTTTGTTTTCCAGATCTTGGGTGCTGTGATTTTGGGCTTCGGAATATGGATTATGGTCGACAAAAACAGCTTCATTTACGTTTTGCGTAAGACAGTGTTTTGGTGTTTTTGACTTTTTCCTGTATAGCATCCTGGATATGGCCAGTAAGACAGAGCACTGTTCTGGTAAATTAATTGCAACAGGAATCCTGTCTGAAGCAGCAGCCCATCTGTAGATCCCAGTCCTAAACAGAGCTGGCTTCTGCCTAGATCTAGAAGAACCTTCTGTAGCTTTTTTCTTGGAGGTTATCCCAGGGCAAACTCGGAGCAGTACCTTGAGAAAATCTCTGCTCTGGGCTGTGGTTCTACACTTTGGTTTTCTTCTGTAAAAGTCTGTGAAATGTGAAGTTACCAACTGAATGCATTTTTTAAAAAGACCCAGCATGTGGGGTTGTGTTGGGTTTTTTTACTGCTGCAATGTACTTGCAAGGGAGAAAAGGCAAGAAAGGACTGTTTTGAGAAGTGTAAGGACTATTTTGAGAAGTGTTAGCCTGGACTGTTTCTCCTTCTCATGCTGCAGCCCTTTTTTTCAAGACTACAGAAATGACTGAGGGCTTGATTTGTGACCTAGTTTCCCCCCTGTGGTCTGGAACCAAAACTCATAACAAAATGGGCTGAGCAGCTGAAAGGCCCTCCAGTCCGTTTACCATGGAGGCACTGATCCTGCGGGCTTTGTGGGCTGCCAAGGGCTTGGAACCTTCCTGTGTGTCAACTCCATTTAGCTCTGATTTTTGGCTTGGGATTTAGCTGTGCATGCAGGAGAAGCTCTTGCTTCCTTCCCGCCTTGAGATTTGCAGATGAAGCTCTTTCCTCTCCTGTTTCCTTCTCCCTTTTGCTCTGGTAACCGTAACAGAGTCTGGGAAGGAACTTTGCACAGCAGGGCATTCCAGCGTGTTGCCAGAGAGGCCTGCCCCCATCTTTTCTTGTGCTTCTCTGGCACCTTTCCCAGAGTAGGAAAAAAGATGGAGCAAGGGGGAATAGAAACAGTGGAGGCCTCTTGCCAACAAGGTCTGCGGAATTTTCCTTGAATAGCAAAGACGTGCTGCAAACTGTGGGCTGCGTCCAGGCTCAGTCTTTCGGCTATGAGCTTTGAAGAGCTTTGGCTGTACAGTTGGAAAGGAGGGCAATGCAGGGTGTGTTGCATGCAAAGGCAATTTAGCTTCTGCTGATATTAAATTTCCAGTGGGCCCTTGAGCTCTAGGAGGGCCTGCAAAAAATTATGTTGAAGATGCGCCCATTGTTGGCTTCATGGCTACCTCCTAAATGTTCAGCCTAGTTAGGCAAGCTTTAGAACAAAGCTCCTTGAAGCTGTATTCGTTGTTTATAATTTCTTGTAACAGTTTTCCTGGAGATTGTAGCTGAAGTTGAAAAGCCTTCCTGTGATACTCATTAGGTTGGTCTTTTGAGCTTTGAGAGCTATCACTCTTAAAACATTTTATGACGAGTGAACACCTTGCAGTTGAATGAGAAGCTGCCTTGTATCTGCTTCTGTGTGAATGTATAAGGGATTGAGGGTGCTGCAGTCCCTCAGAAAATGTGCAAGGTAGCTTCTTTTAATGGGGGGGGAGGGGAAGACCTTTATAGCTCTTATGATTGTAACAAGATGCTTGAAAAATTGGGAGACACTCCAGAATATCTCATAACCAGTGTTCCCTCTAAGCTGAGTTAGTGTGAGCTAGCTCACAGTTTTGTAGCCTCTGGCTCACACATTTTTGTCTCAGCTCAGGAAGGATGGCTCCAGAGCAAACTAATTTATACAGCAGTCCAATCGCTCGCTCACAACTTTAATGCCAGTAACTCACAAAGTAGAATTTTTGCTCACAAGACTCCACAATTTAGAGGGAACATTGCTCATAATCTCTTTTCATTGGCTGTCAATCAAAACTTCGGTATCCCCAAGAAGCTAGAAAGTAAGAGAAACTGTTGTCAGCCTGCACGTTTGTCAGTGATAGAGAGGAGAGTAGCAGAGTGACACTTTTTTCCATCCCCACCCAGACGTCAGTCATGGTCACCACAGTCCCTCTGCTTAGTCAGGAAGTAAATGTGTGGAGGGGAGTTAGTGGTATGTGCATTTCATTTTATGGTGGTCAGCAGTGCATAACGTGTTCAAATAGACCACCCCCACCTTGTATGCACATATTTATTTATTTATTCGATTTTTATCCCACCCTCCCGGCCTGGGCCGGCTCAGGGCGGCTTACAACAAAGTAAGCTCTCAACAATACAGTAGCATAAAATCACATAAATTAATATAAATACAGTGTTAAAACTCAAACATAATAAAGCGCTAGCAGCATTCCTCGTTTTGCGATCAGCTCTTCAGCCTTCTGCAGCTGTCTTGGGTGATTGGCTCGGGCAGTATTTAAGGGACCAGCGGGCCAGGGTTCCACCAACATAGATACCAATTGTTGGCGGTAGAGATATTAGGAGGAGGAGGCTCCAAATGCCTGGCGGAAGATCTCTGTTTTACAGGCCCTGCGGAACAGCGAGAGGTCCTGCATGGCCCTGGTCTCTTCTGGGAGCTCGTTCCACCAGAGTGGAGTCACCACCAAAAAAGCCCTGGCCTTAGTTGCCACCAGTCTGGCTCCTTGAAACTCGGGAGAGCCAGTCGGTTCTGGGTCCCAGAGTGCAGTATCCTCTGGGGTATATATGGGGAAAGGCAGTCCCACAGGTATGCAGGTCCGTGGCCATAAAGGGCTTTAAAGGTAAGAACCAGCACCTTGAAGTGAACCTGGTATGCTATTGGCAGCCAGTGCAACGTCTTTAGCACAGGTCGGATGTGCTCCCAAATCGAGATTCCCATCAACAACCTGGCCGTGGCGTTTTGCACTAGCTGCAGCCTCGGAATTTGCGACAAGGGCAGCCCCATGTAGAGGGCATTACAGTAATCCAATCTCGAGGTGACCATCGTGTGGATCACTGTTGCCAGGTCATTGCATTCAAGGAAGGGAACCAACTGCCTAATCAGCTACAGATGGTAAAAGGCCGACTTGGCAGTGGCTGCTACCTGGGCCTCCATTGTTGAGGCATCTAGCACCAAGCTCCTAACCTCTGGCGCTGGCACGAATGGTGCCCCATTGACGGTCGGGAGTGGGATCCCTACCCCCGGACCACTCTGACTCAGGCACAGGGCTTCCGTCTTCATCAGATTCAATTTCAGCTGGCTCAGCCTAAGCCAACCAGCCACAGCTTGAAACGCCCGGTCTAGATCTTCCAGTTTGGAGTCGGACTGGCCGTCCAACAACAGGTAGAGTTGGGTGTCATCCGCATATTGGTGACAACCCAGTCCATGCTTCCGGGCAATCTGGGCAAGAGTGCGCATATAGGTTAAAAAGCATCGGAGACAACACTGCCCCTTGAGGCACTCCACATTACAATGGGTGCCTTTGGGATAGCTGGTCCACCAGCACCACTCTTTGTCCCCAATCTTGGAGAAAGGAAGCAAGCCACTGCAAGGCTAGTCCCTGAATTCCAATGTCGGCGAGGCAGTGGGTCAGTAGCTGATGGTCGACCGTGTCCAACGTAGCCGACAGGTCTAACAGCAACAGCACTGCCGATCTGCCCTGATCCAAATGCCTCCAGAGGTTGTCTGTGAAGGCGACCAGTGCCGTCTCTGTCCCATGACCCGGGTGAAAGCCGGACTGGAAGGGGTCTAGAATGGAAGTGTCATCCAAGAAGCCCTGTAACTGCATTACCACCGCCCTCTATTATCTTGTCCAAATAGGGCAAGTTGGAAACCATCTGATAATTGGCCAATTTGGCCAAATCCAGAGATGGCTTTTTCAGGAGGGGGTGCATCACTGCCTCCTTAAGTGCCTCTGGGAAAAGCCCCTCAGAGAGGGACTTGTTGACAATCTCCCACAAGGCACCCCAAAACCCCTTGTGGCCAGCTTTAATTAGCCATGAAGGACACGGATCAAGGAGGCATGTGGTAGGGCGTACAGTTAGGAGCAATTTGTCAACTTCCTCTAGGCTGAGCAGGTTAAAATAATCCTTAATATGACAAGAAGATGTGCTTGGAGCCTCGAGTTCATTCACTGTTTCAACTGTGACAGGGAGATCGTGGAGGAGCGACAAAACTTTATCCACAAAATAGCTCGCAAAAGCCTCACAGCCAATGTCCAATTCCCTACCGTTTTGCCGGTCTTGGGACAGAGCTGTAATTGACCAAATCGTTCTAAACAATTGTGCTGGATGTGAGCTTTGCAGACACAATCGTGGCCGTATAATACTGTCTCTTCGCGGCCTTGACTGCCATCTCATAGGATCTCATAAACATCCTATAACGTCCTCTTGACGCTTCGTTGTGGGCACACCGCCACTGCCTCTCTAGCCGTCTTAGACCCCGTTTCATCAGCCGCAACTCCTGGGTAAACCATGGAACAAGCTTAGATCGGGGGCGCAGAGGGTGGCAGGGAGTAATCTCATTGATGGCTGTCGAGAGTCGGCTGTGCCAGTCCTCTACAGGCTCATTCAACGAGCCGCCAGGGGGCTTCAGATCCCGAAGAGCCATCTGAACCCGCACTGGGTCCATTTGGCTCCGCGGGCAAGCCCAAATAGGCTCGCCGCCCAAACAGGGTCGGAGTGGGGTATTTAAGCGAGCCTTCAAGGCAAAGTGGTCTGACCATGGCACTGCCAAGGCAGTCATCCAGTCCACTGTAACTCCTGCTGCGAAGATCAAATCGAGCGTGTGCCCAGCCTGGTGAGTGGGGGCCGTTACAAGTTGGGAGAGTCCTAGGGCCACCATGGACGACACTAGGTCCGCTGCCTGAGTGGAGGCTGCATCATCAGCATGGACGTTGAAATCGCCCAAGACTATCAGTCTAGGGTGTTCCCAGCCTGATATGGCCTCCACCAGGGACGGTAGACTATTGGGCAGTGCGTTGGGCAGTCAGTATACCAACCAAATCGCCACACTCTCCTCGGCTTCCCACACCAGGCTGGCACACTCTATGCCTGTGATCCCCAGTGACGGGAACGCCCTGAAGGAGTAAGCCTCCCAGATAAATAACACCACTCCTCCCCACAGACACAACCCTTGTTCCAAGGGGACAGTGGCTCTCTTGTTACTTAAAGGATCTGTAGCTTTTGGAGGGGGAATGGGGGCTGTGCGTTGTGATCCTGAGCATGTGCATTCTTCAGAGCCAGCTTTCTTCACCTAGGGTCCTTTCGTGTGTCAAATGCAGCTTAAAAGATTCCACTGGGAGAGTTATATTCTGGGAAGACAGATAAAAATGTGTCCTTCACATCTCTATTCTCCTCTAGGGATGTGCATGAACTGGGAAGATGGAAGTTCATCCTGGTTCATAGTTCATCGAGTCTTACAAACCTTCACAAACCTTTCCATTTACCAAACTAGTTTGTTTTGTGAGGTTTGTGATGTGGTAGAACAGCTCCTGTTCAAGGAATGTGTCCCTGCTTTCCTCAGTTCCTACCACTGGCTCTTCTTCCTCACTTTGTCTATTTGCTTCTTGCTTGCTTGTTCTATGGAGCTGTCATCCGAGAGGAAACAGACATAGTCTAGCAGCTGTTGCTTGACGGCAGTGGCTTTGTTGCCTGGCAGGTCCCAGCAGTCCCATGTTGGCCGAGTGAGCCTAGTGAGCCACTCATTTTAATTCTCCTTCCCACCTTTCTTCATTGAAGTGACTTTTGAAAGGTTTGGGCCTAGAGCTAATTTTGTGTGTGTGTTTTAAATATTAGGACTTCCTACTGTCTATGGTTCCCCTGCTCTGGTATGTAGGAAACTCCTCTTGCCCTGTCTCTGGATACATCTTTGTGACCACAATGTTCATACCCTTTACATATAGGGGAAGTGACGATGCAAAATATGCTAATATTTCATAATTAATACAGGTGGTACTGTAGCTTCTCTTGGTGGTTTTGTTGTTGTTGTTAGAGTGCAGACTGGATACATTTGTCTCGCATTCCTGATAAATGTGTAAACTAGCCTGTTCTAAACATTATTTCTTTTCTGGCTCCCACAGAAATGTCATCATCATCATTAAAGACTGGGGCATACATTCTCATTGGAGTTGGGGCCGTCACCATGTTGATGGGATTCCTGGGCTGCCTTGGAGCAGTCAATGAGATTCGATGTCTCTTGGGACTGGTGAGTGATGTAGACAAAGTCACTTAAAACCAAATGTCTTCAATATATATTATAGCTGTCTTATAGCACCTTTTATATTTTGAGTTGTTAAGACCTGGGAATTTACTCTCAATTCATACATTGTATTCATTCTGAGATGTATTATTTATGCCGCTCTGATATAAGTTGAAAAATGTTGTTGGTCTATGATAATTTAATTAAAATATTTTTAAAAACCCAAATGTTATCTAAGGTTCTTTCTGGTAACAGTTGGTCTAAAGGTAAAGGTTCCCTTGCTCGAAAGCCAGTCGAATTCGACTCTAGGGTTGCGGTGCTCATCTCCGTTTCAAAGCCGAAGAGCCAGCGCTGTCCGAAGATGTTTCCGTGGTCATGTGGCCAGTATGACTAAACACCAAGGCGCACTGAACGCTGTTACCTTCCCACCGAAGTGGTCCCTATTTATCTACTTGCAATTTCTTGCTTTCAAACTGCTAGGTTGGCAGGAGCTGGTCTAGAGACCAACATATATGGAGGAGCTTAATCTCCACAAGTGACGGAGATACACTTAGCAATGCCAGCAAGGCAATAGTAATTTGACAAGGACCTTAGCTTGTCATTTGTACTCATCTGCAGTATGAAGTCCCAGAGTCACAAAGGTGATCTTTCTGTACAAGTCTTCTGAGATTGCTGGAAGCCGCAGCAGCTCTTCTAGTACCAGCTGCCATGAGTCTCTTTTTTTGGTTGTCTGTGCCAGGTGAAAATACCCCCATATGTCCCTGTGCAGTTATGGCCTCTAATATATGCCTCAGTGAACACCAGGTAGGCTGAGATAGGTTTGGAGCTACTCACTCTGCTTCCATGCAGTCTAGTGCACCCTGTGTAAATCTGTGCCAAATCCTTGTTGGAGCTGCTATGGGAAAACCTGATTAGCAGATTCTTTGAGCTCCCTGTAGTCCATGAACAGGTGGAAACTGGAAATCTCCTTGAGATGAGGAACTCTTACATTGTGAAAGATATTTTGGGGGTTTGAAATGAAAGAAAACTGATTCTGAAGCTGTAGTTTCTAGCTGTCTTCCATATATTCCCATTTCATGATATTTAGGGCCAGTGTGGCATAATGGTTAGTGTCAGACTAAGGCCAAGGACAACCAGGTTTGAATCCCCAGTCTGCCATGCAAGCTCACCTGGTGACCAAGGCTCATCGCAATCTCTCAGTCTAACCTACCTCACAAGATGGTGGGGTTTGGGTGGAGGAGGAATAAGCTGCTTTAGGTCCTGATTAGGGACAAAAGTGGGATAGTAATAATTATAACAATAAGGTCCTGGGGCCTGGAAAATAGCATTGAGTCTTTTCTGTTCCTTTCCTCTAGTACTTCACCTGCCTGTTGCTGATCCTGATAGGTCAGATAGCTGCCGGGCTGCTCATCTACTTACAACGAAGTGCAGTAAGTGACCCACATCTCCTTGCTGTTCCTTTCCCCCATTTTTAACTGAATCTGCACTTGTAAAAGTCTTGTGCTGTGATCACCTATCTTGCTGCCCTCTAGTTCTGGTGCTAAACTTGGATTCCCATTCCATTCTAAGAAAATTCATGATGTAAGCTTTACATAGGCATTTTAATGGTGATGCTCCCTTCCCCTCCCCCCGGCTGCATGTTCTACCCATCTGCATCATGTCCAGATAAAACCACCAGTTAATTATGTGCCAAGTAGATTAGTGGATGAAGTATAACCAAGGGAAGTTTGATCTTAAACAAGCAAAGGTGTAATAAGAATACATAATCATAACGTAAAATTACAGGGAAATAAAACCTTGGGTAACTGTGTAAATGGTTTCAAACTCATTCTTTCTTGTCTGTGATTTTCAATATGCATACAAACTCTTCATGTGTTCCTTGACAGGGACACCTTTTTCTTCTACTTTGTGGTTCCCCAGATATATCATACCAACCATACAGCATATGGAAGGAGTCAGTGTAAATTACTTCCACCATTCTTCCCTGTCCCTTCTGTCTACTTTTGGAGTAGTAACAATCTGTGGTCTCAGAAAACACTGTAAGGTATTTTGGCTTGGGTGTATTGGATAATCTGTCTAGCATGTGAACCACGAGTACATAACATACTGACTAGTGAATTCAAGTTGTAAGGCTCACCTACACCAAACTTCTGCTCTGGGACGCTGAGGAGTCTGTGTGGTGCATAAAATGCCACCAATCCACCCCTACATGAAACGTCTTATCATGGCAGGGAGGAGTCCTCTTCTCTGGACTATGCCTTCTTCTAACCCAACATGGGAAGTGTCTCTATTATATCCAGGGACTTGTATTTGCAAGCCCCTGGGCTGGAAGGAGAAACTTCTGGGGGGGGGGGGTGAGAGAGAGAGAGAGAGAGAGAGAATGCTGTCTCTCAGCCTAGAGAACATCTGTGAGGAGGCATTCTTAGTGCCCCCATCAAAGATACATAGACTATAATGAAGCCAGGTGATGTCATTTAGCTTTTGGCGTCTCTTATGTTCTTATGTTCTTATGTTCTTATGTTCATGTGAACCATGAGTACATAACATACTGACTAGTGAATTCAAGTTGTAAGGCTCACCTACACCAAACTTCTGCTCTGGGACGCTGAGGAGTCTGTGTGGTGCATAAATTCCCACCAATCCACCACTACATGAAACATCTTATGGCAGGGAAGAGTCCTCTTCTCTGGACTATGCGTTCTTCTAACCCAACATGGGAAGTTTCTCTATTATATCCAGGGACTTGTATTTGTGGTCAAGATGGGTTGTGGCCCACGTAATGGTTTGAGTAGTTATTTTCTTGTTTCTTTCTTAAATATCCCCTCTCCAAGGGCAAATGTTTCAATGTGAGAGACTGCTTTGAAGGGAAATATTTGGAAGGTGCCTGTGGAGAGACTATTGCTATCAAGGGCAGAGCTGCTACTTCCTGCATTTGCCTCCTTTCTTACCCAGATGAATTAGTTGGTTGATGACAGGTGGGCTTGTTCAGTAACCTGTTTTAAATATTTGTGGTAGTTGACAGGTTTTTGTTGTTGACATTGTAGGTCTCACTGAGTGGGAAAAATGGTTAAATGCACCATAATAACTACTAAAGAGTTGGAAGATTCTAGGTTAACTTCCTGCTGGTGTTACACTACACTAACTTAGTGATTAAGGAGCCCTCCATTGTGGAGGTGGTTGGAACTGGTGTAGGACTGAAATCCTGTGCACATTTGGGTCCTATTAGAAGCATAATCTTGTTTATGGGTCTCTATCAGTAACTCTCCTGCAGAATAGTTTGTGCAACCCTAGAAGACCTAGGAAATGATATGCTCTAGACTTGTTTTAAGAAAGCCTTTGTTTCATAGGATTTTTCTCTGCATTGCTTAGTCAATAGCTTTGCTTCTAGTGCTTTTCCTAATCTATGTTCTTTTTCTGGATGCTTGCTAACATGTGGAGTAGCTCAGTAGTAGTTTTCATTAAAAAGAAGATTGCCAACTCCTGGTCTAGTTAAAAAGCATTCTAACCACTTTGCCTATTTATAATACAAGATATATAAAACTGTGGATTTATGGAATTAGTGTTGCATTCACATTAGGAGGGTGCATGGAATTTTCCTATTTCTCCATCCTTTTCATTAGCTTTTTATTTTTTGCCATTTATTTTTGTTTTCCATTATATCAATGGGAGGCCAAACTGGTCTTCTCCTGCTTGTAACTTTGGTGTGCTGCATCCAAATGGCATGAAATTAAAATCATTGGACCTGCCAGATTTTAGAGGAATAGGACACAGGCATCTATATAGAACAAATTTTTAAGGACATAAACTGTGTAGGCTTTCCATTGATTTAAATGTGAAATCCATCTAGTTTTCTCTATGTAGTGTTCATTAGAAATGCTAAGAGTTGGTTTTTGTTGTCTTTAGACCCCACTTTTCTCTGCCCTGCTGTTGTTAGCCATTTCCTCTTCCCACAGCGGGTATCTTGTGGGGTGGGTGGGGCCAAGAGAGTTCTGAGTGACTGGCCCAACGTCACCCAACAGGCTTCATGTGGATGACTGGGGAATCAAACCCGGTTCTCCAGATTAGAGTTTGCCTCTCTTAACCACTATACCACACATTTATTTGCTGCATGTTGGAGAGCTTTCAAGTCTATCTCTCCTCCCCCTCCCCCACCCTCCCTCGTATCCTTTCTGTGCACTATACCAGCTAATTTGTTCAGTGTGAAATGCCTCTACTATACTGTATATGTAAAGCAATGAAAAGAAATGGATAAGTTAATGAAAAAGTAAGCATGTAATGTTTTTCTTTAGTTTCTTCTTTTTTTACAGTAAGAACAAACTGTCTGCATAGAGACTTTCTCTACATCAAAGCTTGATTTTCTGGGGTGTAGCTTTTTGTGCTCTAAAGTTTTTCATCCCACTCTCCTCTTCTTAATGAAGAGCCAGAAACAGAGCTTCTACATTATTTTTCCTCACCCTGATAAAGACAGGGGCCTGTATTTGTTGTTGCTAGGGCAACTCTCCAGCAACAGTTAGACATGAGGCATCGTCTTTTTCCCCCCTCTTTGCACATAGTGGAGAAGCATCCATGGAAATATCACTGGGTTCTTCTTGGCAGGAAGAAGCTGGCACACCAAACTCTTCTCCCACATGTCTCCTGATGAATGTGGCCCACTTCCAGTTGGAACTGGCCTGCTGGATGCCAGAGGGATGGAAGGCCCCCCTCTATCATTCTTCACTGGCCTGGTTTACAATATTCTAAGAAGCCATTTTCCCCCTTGGTTTGAATTCACTTGAAAGGTAGACCTGATACATTTGCCTTATTAGGGCTGAAAATTGCAGGCTCTTCTTAGGCTTTCCTTGGGCTTCTCTAAACTCGTTCTTTTCTCTTTTGCACTTGTTTTCTAATATCACAAGTCTCCAATTGTGTTGAATTACTTGATAGGCCACGAATTACTGGGTGCTCTACTGAGTTTCTGAAATCCCCATTTTATCACATATTTACCCAGCCCTCTCCAAGGAACTTAAAGAATCACATCCAGACTCTTCACAGCTAAGCTGGCTTTTAAAGTAGGGTCCCTCCAGGCCAGGACCAATTGTTAAATTATTCTAGCTCAGTGGCTGAAGCTTATTCTATACATTTACTCAAGTAACCCAGTGAAAATGCACTGTATATCCATGTACTGGGACATGAAGTTTAAAAGTACCACAAGCCTGCCTTCATGCATTTTTTTTCTGGCCCTCTCATGAGTGCCCCCTCCATTTTAGTAGGTATTGAGGATACTGTATATGAGAACACTGTTCTTTGCAGACTGCGATGTCTTTAGCCTAGGGGATAGACAAGAAGACTGGTGTCTCTGTCTCTCATTTCTGTAGTAAGAAGGAAGGTTTTTCATAGCCATGAGAAACAACACATACATTTCTCAGCAACCAGTGCTGCCAGTGAATTCTGCTCCTGAGGAAGCCAGGTGTGGTTTTTGAAGTTGAAACTTGCATTTTGCTGATATGACGCTTCTGGGCTCTATGCTATTGGTGAACATCAAGTCCTTAAACTGCAGTGTTCTATGGATGCTCTATATCACAGGCAAGTCTTGTTCATTACGGCTTGCTCTTTTTCATAACTCCTCTCCATGTGAGCATCCCATAGCCATCAGACATGTCAGCCAAAATACTGGATGGATCAAGGTGTGTATTTAAAACCCTGCTCCTTCTTTCCATTGCTGCTGCTGTAAGTGAAACCATAGAGGAGCAGCTCTAGCACAGGAGAGGAACATCCACCCTTGCACACAAGGGCTGTAAGCAGTATTGGCTGCTGAATGCCCACTCCCAACAACCACTTCAGTGGTAGATATTCTGGTGGGACAATACCATAAAGCTTTGGGAAGTGTTGCAGGCGATAACCATTGATGATTTAGCCAAGCTGAACTCTATGACTTGCTTCCCATCACTTGTGAGAGAAGGGTAAGGATTTCCTTTACTTGTGAGAGCTGGAAGAGCACTGCTGCTGTGAGAGTGGTGTTGTTTTGAGGCACTGCTAAGTTGGAGAGGGGTCAGAGTTTTGGCTTCCTTGGGGTTATAAGTGTTGAGCCTTACAGAGAGCTCTTTGACTTTCTGCAAATATGTTGGGATATGATAATGTATCTGGCATGTCCATGGGATGGAAGGTAATTTTGTTTTGTCCTGTTTGGCATACCCCCAGTAATGGTTATTGAACCTCTTGCTAGTGTTCTTTACGTATTTTAATAGAATTTTATAATTTTAACTGTAATTGCTTGAATGTTTCTTATATTTGCCACCTTATGGACCCTGATTGGGTGGAAAGGCAGGATAGCAGTGGACAAGGGGGACCCAATAGATGTTTAACTTGACTTCCAGAAAGTTTTTGATAAAGTTCCTCATCAAAGGCTCCTAAGTAAGCTCAGTAGTCACAGGATAAAAGGACAAGTCCTTTT